AGAAAAGCACTTTTCTAAAAAATTTAGAAAAAGACCAACATATGTCTTTCTGCAGATCTGTACACCAATGATACACCCACCCATCTTTGAATAAATTGCTCTTGATAGCATCCAGAGATCTTTATTCTTAAGATAAAATTAATCATACACCTTTGTTTCTAGTTAATGAATGTGCCAAGAGTGGGATTTGAACCCACGCCTCCTACTGGAGACCAGAACCCCACATTGGAATGGAAGCAATGCTTGAGTCTGGCGCCTTTGACCGCTCGGCCATCTTGACTGAAAAATGGAGTGGTATAATAAAGTTGCAGAGGTTGAAATGTGACCTACCCTCTGAAGTTGTCCTTTGCTATTTCATTGACCTTGTACAACCACTTATCCCAAGTAAGACTGCTGGCTGTGATAATGAATACAATTGATAAGTTGTAAGTTTGGTCAAATGTCTGAAATGAAGTTGCCCAATCAAAAGCAATTGTTTTCATTCAAGTTCTACCCATTCCCAAAACACTTTGGATCTTTAGAAGATTGGTGTTTAACTTCAAAAGCTCTTTTATTGTTACTGAGTTACAGTAATTTGTTGTATCTGAAGGACCAGGGCAACAAACCCTGTATGAAAAAACAGTGTCACCTCAAGTTGTCAAACTTGTCAAGATTGTCAAATGCCCGACTAGCTCAGTCGGTAGAGCATGAGACTTTTAATCTCAGGGTCGTGGGTTCGAGCCCCACGTAGGGTGCTTAGGCCTTTGACAGAGTATGTTTTCATGCAGTGTCACCAGTTTACCCTGAATCAAAATGCATTTGCTTGAAAAACAGAAATTGTTGCCATAGATTGGGGGAAGTTTTAAGCTCAGACAACACTAAGAAAAACTCAAATAAAGTCCCAAATTCTCACGCAAGCACCTGCAATTCTTCTCACAAAAGAACTAATAGAAAGATTACACATGAATAGACAGATGTTGCCTTTAGAATCTATGCCTAACATGGGACTTGAACCCATGACCCTGAGATTAAAAGTCTCATGCTCTACCGGCTGAGATAGTCAGGCTACAAATGATTACAGACAGACACAGAGTAAAATAGTCAGATAGATAGATAGATAGATAGATAGATAGATAGATAGATAGATAGATAGATAGATAGATAGATAGATAGATAGATAGAAAGATTCATTCATTCATTCATTCATTGGTTGATGACACTGTAAAAAAGTTTGTCACATAAGCGCACAAATCTTCAAATGAGTGGCACAGTAGTTATTTTTAAGTTTTTTTATGTTAGATAACAACATTGTTAACAGAAAAGCACTTTTCTAAAAAATTTAGAAAAAGACCAACATATGTCTTTCTGCAGATCTGTACACCAAAGTTACACCCACTCATCTTTGAATAAATTGCTCTTGATAGCATCCAGAGATCTTTATTCTTGAGATAAAAATAATCATACACCTTTGTTTCTAGTTATTGAATGAGCCAAGAGTGGGATTTGAACCCACGCCTCCTACTTGAGACCAGAATCCCCACATTGGAATGGAAGCAATGCTTGAGTCTGGCGCCTTTGACCGCACGGCCATCTTGACTGAAGATTGAAGTGGTATAATAAAGTTGCAGAGGTTGAATTGTGACCTACCCTCTGAAGTTGTCCTTTGCTATTTCATTGACCTTGTAGAACCACTTATCCCAAGTAAGACTGCTGGCTGTGATAATGAATACAATCGATAAGTTGTAAGTTTGGTCAAATGTCTGAAATGAAGTTGCCCAATCAAAAGCAATTGTTTTCATTCAAGTTCTACCCATTCCCAAAACACTTTGGATCTTTAGAAGATTGGTGTTCAACTTCAAAAGCTCTTTTATTGTTACTGAGTTACAGTAATTTGTTGTATCTGAAGGACCAGGACAACAAACCCTGTATGAAAAAACAGTGTCACCTCACGTTGTCAAACTTGTTAAGATTGTCAAATGCCCGACTAGCTCAGTCGGTAGAGCATGAGACTCTTAATCTCAGGGTCGTGGGTTCGAGCCCCACTTTGGGCGCTTAGTCCTTTGACAGTGTATGTTTTCATGCAGTGTCACCAGTTTACCCTGAATCAAAATGCGTTTGCTTGAAAAACAGACATTGTTGCCATAGATTGGGGGAAGTTTTAAGGTCAGACAACACTAAGAAAAAACTCAAATAAAGTCCCAAATTCTTATGCCAGCACCTGCAATTCTTCTCACAAAAGAACTAGTAGAAAGATTACACATGAATAGACAGATGTCGCCTGTAGAATCTATGCCTAACATGGGACCTGAACCCATGACCCTGAGATTAAAAGTCTCATGCTCTACTGGCTGAGCTAGTCAGGCTACAAAATGATTACAGACAGAAACAGAGTAAAATAGTCAGATAGATAGATAGATGATAGATAGATAGATAGATAGATAGATAGATAGATAGATAGATAGATAGATAGATAGATAGATAGATAGATAGATAGATAGATAGATAGATAGATAGATAGATAGATAGATAGATAGATTGATTCTTTCATTCATTCATTCATTGGCTGATGACACTGTAAAAAAGTTTGTCACATAAGCGCACAAATCTTCAAATGAGTGGCACAGTAGTTATTTTTAATTTTTTTTTATTTTAGATAACAACATTGTTAACAGAAAAGCACTTTTCTAAACAATTTAGAAAAATACCAACATATGTCTTTCTGCAGATCTGTACACGAAAGTTACACCCACCCATCTTTGAATAAATTGCTCTTGATAGCATCCAGAGATCTTTATTTTTGAGATAAAATTAATCATACACCTTTGTTTCTAGTTAATGAATGTGCCAAGAGTGGGATTTGAACCCACGCCTCCTACTGGAGACCAGAATCCCCACATTGGAATGGAAGCAATGCTTGAGTCTGGCGCCTTTGACCGCTCGCCCATCTTGACTGAAGACTGGAGAGGTATAATAAAGTTGCAGAGGTTGAATTGTGACCTACCCTCTGAAGTTGTCCTTTGCTATTTCATTGACCTTGTAGAACCACTTTTCCCAAATAAGACTGCTGGCTGTGATAATGAATACAATCGATAAGTTGTAAGTTTGGTCAAATGTCTGAAATGAAGTTGCCCAATCAAAAGCAATTGTTTTCATTCAAGTTCTACCCATTCCGAAAACACTTTGGATCTTTAGAAGATTGGTGTTCAACTTCAAAAGCTCTTTTATTGTTACTGAGTTACAGTAATTTGTTGTATCTGAAGGACCAGGGCAACAAACCCTGTATGAAAAAACAGTGTCACCTCACGTTGTCAAACTTGTCAAGATTGTCAAATGCCCGACTAGCTCAGTCGGAAGAGCATGAGACTCTTAATCTCAGGGTCGTGGGTTCGAGCCCCACGTTGGGCGCTTAGTCCTTTGACATAGTATGTTTTCATGCAGTGTCACCAGTTTACCCTGAATCAAAATGCGTTTGCTTGGAAAACAGAAAGTGTTGCCATAGATTGGGGGAAGTTTTAAGGTCAGACAACACTAAGAAAAAACTCAAATAAAGTCCCAAATTCTTATGCCAGCACCTGCAATTCTTCTCACAAAAGAACTAGTAGAAAGATTACACATGAATAGACAGATGTTGCCTGTGGAATGTATTCCTAACATGGGACCTGAACCCATGACCCTGATATTAAAAGTCTCATGCTCTACCGGCTGAGCTAGTCAGGCAACAAAATGATTACAGACAGAAACAGAGTAAAATAGTCAGATAGAAAGATAGATGATAGATAGATAGATAGATAGATAGATAGATAGATAGATAGATAGATAGATAGATAGATAGATAGATAGATAGATAGATAGATAGATAGATAGATAGATAGATAGATAGATAGATAGATGATAGATAGATAGATAGATAGATAGATTCTTTCATTCATTCATTCATTGGTTGATGACACTGTAAAAAAGTTTGTCACATAAGCGCACAAATCTTCACATGACTGGCACAGTAGTTATTTTTAAGTTTTTTTTATTTTTAGATAACAACATTGTTAACAGAAAAGCACTTTTCTAAAAATTTTAGAAAAAGACCAACACATGTCTTTCTGCAGATCTGTACACCAAAGTTACACCCACCCATCTTTGAATAAATTTCTCTTGATAGCATCCAGAGATCTTTATTCTTGAGATAAAATTTATCATACACCTTTGTTTCTAGTTAATGAATGTGCCAAGAGTGGGATTTGAACCCACGCCTCCTACTGGAGACCAGAACCCCCACATTGGAATGGAAGCAATGCTTGAGTCTGGCGCCTTTGACCGCTCGGCCATCTTGACTGAAGATTGGAGTGGTATAATAAAGTTGCAGAGGTTGAATTGTGACCTACCCTCTGAAGTTGTCCTTTGCTATTTCATTGACCTTGTAGAACCACTTATCCCAAGTAAGACTGCTGGCTGTGATAATGAATACAATCGATAAGTTGTAAGTTTGGTCAAATGTCTGAAATGAAGTTGCCCAATCAAAAGCAATTGTTTTCATTCAAGTTCTACCCATTCCCAAAACACTTTGGATCTTTAGAAGATTGGTGTTCAATTTCAAGAGCTCTTTTATTGTTACTGAGTTACAGTAATTTGTTGTATCTGAAGGACCAGGGCAACAAACCCTGCATGGCAAAACAGTGTCACCTCACGTTGTCAAACTTGTCAAGATTGTCAAATGCCCGACTAGCTCAGTCGGTAGAGCATGAGACTCTTAATCACAGGGTCGTGGGTTCGAGCCCCACGTTGGGCGCTTAGGCCTTTGACAGAGTATGTTTTCATGCAGTGTCACCAGTTTACCCTGAATCAAAATACGTTTGCTTGAAAAACAGAAATTGTTGCCATGGATTAAGGGAAGTTTTCAGCTCAGACAACACTAAGAAAAACTCAAATAAAGTCCCAAATTCTTATGCCAGCACCTGCAATTCTTCTCACAAAAGAACTAGTAGAAAGATTACACATGAATAGACAGATGTTGCCTTTAGAATCTATGCCTAACATGGGACTTGAACCCATGACCCTGAGATTAAAAGTCTCATGCTCTACCGGCTGAGCTAGTCAGGCTACAAAATGATTACAGACACAAACAGAGTAAAATAGTCAGATAGATAGATGATAGATAGATAGATAGATAGATAGATAGATAGATAGATAGATAGATAGATAGATAGATAGATAGATAGATAGATAGATAGATAGATAGATAGATAGATAGATAGATAGATAGATAGATAGAAAGATTCTTTCTTTCATTCATTCATTGGCTGATGACACTGTAAAAAAGTTAGTCACATAAGCGCACAAATCTTCAAATGAGTGGCACAGTAGTTATTTTTAAGTTTTTTTAATTTTAGATAACAACATTGTTAACAGAAAAGCACTTTTCAAAAAAAATTAGAAAAAGTCCAACATATGTCTTTCTGCAGATCTGTACACCAAAGATACACGCACCCATCTTTGAATAAATTGCTCCTGATAGCGTCCAGAGATCTTTATTCATGAGATAAAATCAATCATAAACGTTTGTTACTAGTTAATGAATGTGTCAAGAGTGGGATTTGAACCCACGCCTCCTACTGGAGACCAGAATCCCCATATTGGAATGGAAGCAATGCTTGAGTCTGGCGCCTTTGACCGCTCGGCCATCTTGACTGAAGATTGGAGTGGTATAATAAAGTTGCAGAGGTTGAATTGTGACCTACCCTCTGAAGTTGTCCTTTGCTATTTCATTGACCTTGTAGAACCACTTATCCCAAGTAAGACTGCTGGCTGTGATAATGAATACAATCGATAAGTTGTAAGTTTGGTCAAAAGTCTGAAATGAAGTTGCCCAATCAAAAGCAGTTGTTTTCATTCAAGTTCTACCCATTCCCAAAACACTTTGGATCTTTAGAAGATTGGTGTTCAACTTCATAAGCTCTTTTACTGTTACTGAGTTACAGTAATTTGTTGTATCTGAAGGACCAGGGCAACAAACCCTGTATGGCAAAACAGTGTCACCTCACGTTGGCAAACTTGTCAAGATTGTCAAATGCCCGACTAGCTCAGTCGGTAGAGCATGAGACTCATAACCTCAGGGTCGTGGGTTCGAGCCCCACGTTGGGCGCTTAGGCCTTTGACAAAGTATGTTTTCATGCAGTGTCACCAGTTTACCCTGAATCAAAATGCGTTTGCTTGAAAAACAGAAATTGTTGACATGGATTGGGGGAAGTTTTAAGCTCAGACAACACTAAGAAAAACTCAAACAAAGTCCAAATTTATAATGCAAGCACCTGCAATTCTTCTCACAAAAGAACTAGTAGAAAGATTACACATGAATAGACAGATGTTGCCTTTAGAATCTATGCCTAACATGGGACTTGAACCCATGACCCTGAGATTAAAAGTCTCATGCTCTACCGGATGAGCTAGTCAGGCTACAAAATGATTACAGACAGAAACAGAGTAAAATAGTCAGATAGATAGATAGATGATAGATAGATAGATAGATAGATAGATAGATAGATAGATAGATAGATAGATAGATAGATAGATAGATAGATAGATAGATAGATAGATAGATAGATAGATAGATAGATAGATAGATAGATAGATAGATAGATAGATTATTTCTTTCATTCATTCATTGGCTGATGACACTGTAAAAAAGTTTGTCACATAAGCGCACAAATCTTCAAATGAGTGGCACAGTAGTTATTTTTAAGTTTTTTTTATTTTAGATAACAACATTGTTAACAGAAAAGCACTTTTCTAAAAAATTTAGAAAAAGACCAACATATGTCTTTCTGCAGATCTGTACACCAAAGATACAACCACCCATCTTTGAATAAATTGCTCTTGATAGCGCCCAGAGATCTTTATTCTTGAGCTAAAATTAATCAGAAACCTTTGTTTCTAGTTAATGAATGTGTCAAGAGTGGGATTTGAACCCACATCTCCTACTAGAGACCAGAATCCCCATATTGGAATGGAAGCAATGCTTGAGTCTAGCGCCTTTGACTGCTCGGCCATCTTGACTGAAGATTGGAGTGGTATAATAAAGTTGCAGAGGTTGAATTGTGACCTACCCTCTGAAGTTGTCCTTTGCTATTTCATTGACCTTGTAGAACCACGTATCCCAAGTAAGACTGCTGGCTGTGATAATGAATACAATCGATAAGTTGTAAGTTTGGTCAAATGTCTGAAATGAAGTTGCCCAATCAAAAGCAATTGTTTTCATTCAAGTTCTACCCATTCCCAAAACACTTTGGATCTTTAGAAGATTGGTGTTCAACTTCAAAAGCTCTTTTATTGTTACTGAGTTACAGTAATTTAATGTATCTGAAGGACCAGGGCAACAAACCCTGCATGGCAAAACAGTGTCACCTCACGTTGTCAAACTTGTCAAGATTGTCAAATGCCTGACTAGCTCAGTCGGTAGAGCATGAGACTCTTAATCTCAAGGTCGTGGGTTCGAGCCCCACGTTGGGCGCTTAGGCCTTTGACAGAGTATGTTTTAATGCAGTGTCACCAGTTTACCCTGAATCAAAATGAGTTTGCTTGAAAAACAGAAATTGTTGCCATGGATTAAGGGAAGTTTTAAGCTCAGACAACACTAAGAAAAACTCAAATAAAGTCCCAAATTCTTATGCAAGCACCTGCAATTCTTCTCACAAAAGAACTAGTTGAAAGATTACACATGAATAGACAGATGTTGCCTTTAGAATCTATGCTTAACATGGGACTTGAACCCATGACCCTGAGATTAAAAGTCTCATGCTCTACCGGCTGAGCTAGTCAGGCTACAAAATGATTACAGACAGAAACAGAGTAAAATAGTCAGATAGATAGATGATAGATAGATAGATAGATAGATAGATAGATAGATAGATAGATAGATAGATAGATAGATAGATAGATGATAGATAGATAGATAGATAGATAGATAGATAGATAGATAGATAGATAGATAGATAGATAGATAGATAGATAGATAGATAGATAGATAGATAGATAGATAGATAGATAGATTCTTTCTTTCATTCATTCATTGGCGGATGACACTGTAAAAAAGTTTGTCACATAAGCGCACAAATCTTCAAATGAGTGGCACAGTAGTTATTTTTAATTTTTTTTATTTTAGATAACAACATTGTTAACAGTAAAGCACTTTTCTAAAAAATTTAGAAAAAGACCAACATATGTCTTTCTGCAGATCTGTACACCAAAGTTAAACCCACCCATCTTTGAATAAATTGCTCTTGATAGCATCCAGAGATCTTTATTCTTGAGATAAAATTAATCATACACCTTTGTTTCTAGTTAATGAATGTGCCAAGAGTGGGATTTGAACCCACGCCTCCTACTGGAGACCAGAATCCCCACATTGGAATGAAAGCAATGCTTGAGTCTGGCGCCTTTGACCGCTCGGCCATCTTGACTGAAGATTGGAGTGGTATAATAAAGTTGCAGAGGTTGAATTGTGACCTACCCTCTGAAGTTGTCCTTTGCTGTTTCATTGACCTTGTAGAACCACTTATCCCAAGTAAGACTGCTGGCTGTGATAATGAATACAATCGATAAGTTGTAAGTTTGGTCAAATGTCTGAAATGAAGTTGCCCAATCAAAAGAAATTGTTTTCATTCAAGTTCCACCCATTCCCAAAACACTTTGGATCTTTAGAAGATTGGTGTTCAACTTCATAAGCTCTTTTATTGTTACTAAGTTACAGTAATTTGTTGTATCTGAAGGACCAGGGCAACAAACCCTGCATGGCAAAACAGTGTCACCTCACGTTGTCAAACTTGTCAAGATTGTCAAATGCCCGACTAGCTCAGTCGGTAGAGAATGAGACTCTTAATCACAGGGTCGTGGGTTCGAGCCCCACGTTGGGCGCTTAGGCCTTTGACACAGTATGTTTTCATGCAGTGTCACCAGTTTACCCTGAATCAAAATGCGTTTGCTTGAAAAACAGAAATTGTTGCCATAGATTGGGGGAAGTTTTCAGCTCAGACAACACTAAGAAAAACTCAAATAAAGTCCCAAATTCTTATGCAAGCACCTGCAATTCTTCTCACAAAAGAACTAGTAGAAAGATTACACATGAATAGATAGATGTTGCCTTTAGAATCTATGCCTAACATGGGACTTGAACCCATGACCCTGAGATTAAAAGTCTCATGCTCTACCGGCTGAGCTAGTCAGGCTACAAAATGATTACAGACACAAACAGAGTAAAATAGTCAGATAGATAGATGATAGATAGATAGATAGATAGATAGATAGATAGATAGATAGATAGATAGATAGATAGATAGATAGATAGATAGATAGATAGATAGATAGATAGATAGATAGATAGATTCTTTCTTTCATTCATTCATTGGCTGATGACACTGTAAAAAAGTTAGTCACATAAGCGCACAAATCTTCAAATGAGTGGCACAGTAGTTATTTTTAAGTTTTTTTAATTTTAGATAACAACATTGTTAACAGAAAAGCACTTTTCAAAAAAAATTAGAAAAAGTCCAACATATGTCTTTCTGCAGATCTGTACACCAAAGATACACGCACCCATCTTTGAATAAATTTCTCCTGATAGCGTCCAGAGATCTTTATTCATGAGATAAAATCAATCATAAACCTTTGTTACTAGTTAATGAATGTGTCAAGAGTGGGATTTGAACCCACACCTCCTACTGGAGACCAGAATCCCCATATTGGAATGGAAGCAATGCTTGAGTCTGGCGCCTTTGACCGCTCGGCCATCTTGACTGAAGATTGGAGTGGTATAATAAAGTTGCAGAGGTTGAATTGTGACCTACCCTCTGAAGTTGTCCTTTGCTATTTCATTGACCTTGTAGAACCACTTATCCCAAGTAAGACTGCTGGCTGTGATAATGAATACAATCGATAAGTTGTAAGTTTGGTCAAATGTCTGAAATGAAGTTGCCCAATCAAAAGCAATTGTTTTCATTCAAGTTCTACCCATTCCCAAAACACTTTGGATCTTTAGAAGATTGGTGTTCAACTTCATAAGCTCTTTTACTGTTACTGAGTTACAGTAATTTGTTGTATCTGAAGGA